GGCTGCGTTCCGAAATTCACTGCCAGTACTGAAATTCTATAATATACGTAACATAAATTATAGATTTTCAGTACTGGCAGTGCATTTCGGAACGCAGCCTTAATAGATTGACTGCGTTTAACAAAAGACGCAAATGTGCATAGTGAGATTCTTTAATATGATTGATTTATACCAATGTTTACATCCAATGAGGAAGTAGAAACAAGACCAATCATATTAAAGAATCTTACAATTGTGAAATTAGGTTTGCGCGTCTCATGCTCCAACGTGCTCCTACTCGCTCCAATGCACTTTGATTGGCTACGTCACCACGCGGACCAATCAGAGTACGTTGGAGCGAGTAGGAACACATTGGGGCATGCAACGCGAACAAACCTATTGCTTTGACTGCGTTCGAAAATATCACCCAAGTGCCCTTATGTATCATCTTATCCTTGTTTAATATTCGATGAACAATAAGGAATACTCGGGTAATGTTTCCATTTTTATCACCAAATTAAGTTATTCACTAAATCATCAAAGACCTTGGGTGTTTACGATAATTCGAGTTGGAGTTAGTACGAATTAGTTTCACTAAGGCTGAAAAATATGATAGTCACAAGCATCTAGTATTTTCATGATTCATGACAACTCAATGCTGTCCGATAAATCGAGTAGAGTAGAGTAGAGTAGAGTTAGGGTAACATAGTGGATAGTATATGTATAAAAATTAACAGTATCAGGTAACATAGTTTCGTAAAATATATAACAATAATATTATTAAACAATGAGTTGTTGCATTTTAGAAAAATTAGAAGCACTAAATTAAATTATGAAAAGGTATCATGTATTTGTGAAATATCCAAAAGTAGAAAACAATTATTCTAACCTATTATTATTGAATATTTCACAAATACATTAAATTAATATCATTTTCATAATTTAATTTAGTGCTTCTAATTTTTCTAAAATATAATAAATAATTGTTTTGTAATATTATTGTTACATATTTTACGAAACTATGTTATCTGATACTGTTAATTCTTATACATATACTATCCGCTATACTACCCTAACTCTACTCTACTCTACTCGATTTATCGGACAGCATTGAGTTGTCATAAATCTTGAAAATACTAGATGCTTGTGCCTATCATATTTCTCGGCCCTAGTGAAACTAACTCGTACTTAATCTAACTCGAATTATCGTAAACAGCCCTTAAAAATCCCGAAAAATGGTGAAAAATCACCAACAACAGCAATTCTAAACCAGAGCTGCCACATGTGAGATCGAGTACGCGTAATTATAATGCGTGCGGCGCAGCGCACACAAGCGAAGAACTGTGTACGTGTGGGCTGCCTATCACGAACTATAGCGCTTGGCGCTTCGGCCAGGACCTGTGTGAACTTGGCACACCATATTTAAAAATGTGATATTTTTTTTAGAGTTCTGATACATTCTTGAAAAGTTCTAGAGCTCTATGCAACAATTTTAAATAGTTCCGGTCATTAAATACAAAAAAATAGACTTTTAAAAAAAGGTGCGCTAAGTTCACGCAGCGCACCTAATCAGTAAAATCAACTATTTCTTTAGAGTTCCGGTTTGTTTTACAATAGTTCTAGAGTTCTATATCATATATAACAATAGTTTTAATAATTAAAAACGAAAAGTCGATTTGCGAAGACCTAATTCACAAAATGTGAAATACCGACAACAAAATAAGAGAGATTAACACTATTTCGCGAGTTCTGCATATTTGAAAATATTTTCAACATTTACTTGTGATCAGGGAATGAAAATATAAAGAGTTTTATGCGAAAGCAGAAATAATTTCTTCATAAAAAATTATAAAGTGTTCGAGGTCGCATAACTTTAGCAGCAGAAGGGGTGCGCCAGCCGCACTTTGAGAGTTCCATTGGTTTAAAAATATTTTTAACGTTCACTTATGATCAGAAAACGAATGTCCAAAGAGTTCTGCGCGACAGCAGTAATAATTTATTTATAAAAAATCATATAGTATTCGAGGTCGCGTATATTTACGAGCAGGTGGGATGCGCTACCTGCGCTTTGAGAGTTCTGTCGGTTTAAAAATATTTTCAACGTTCACTTGTAATCAGGGAATAAAAATATATAGAGTTCTGCGCGATTGCGGTAATAAATTGTTTATAAAAAATTATATAGTGTCCGAGGTCGCGTAAATGTACCAGCAGCTGGGGTACGTTAGCCGCAGTTTGAGAGTTCTGATGGTTTGAAAATATTTTTGACATTCAATTATGATCAAGGAATGAACATCCGAAAAGTTCTGTGCCATAGCTGTAATAATTTATTAATAAAAAATTATACAGTGACCCAAGCCGCGTAACTGTAACAACAGGTGGGGTGTGCCAGCGGCACTTTGACAGTTCTGTCGGTTTAAAAATATTTTCAACGTTCACTTGTGATGAAGGAATGAATAGTCAAAGAGCTCTTTGCGATTGCGGTAAAAAAATTTATTAAAAAAAAATTATTATACTGTACACGAAGTCGTGTAACAGTGATTGTAAGGTACGCTACCCACACTTTGAGAGTTCTGTTTGTTTAAAAATATTTTCAACGTTCACTTGTAATCAGGGAATCAAAATATAAAGAGTTCTGCGCGATTGCGGTAATAAATTTTTTATAAAAAATTTATTACCGCAATCGCGCAGAACTCTTTATATTTTGATTCCCTGATTACAAGTGAACGTTGAAAATATTTTTAAACAGACAGAACTCTCAAAGCGCAAGTAGCGCACCACACCTGCTCGTAAATGTACGCGACCTCGAATACTATATAATTTTTTATAAATAAATTATTACTGCTGTCGCGCAGAACACTTCGGACATTCGTTTTCTGATCATAAGTGAACGTTAAAAATATATTTAAACCAATGGAACCCTCAAAGTGCAGCTGGCGCACCCCTCCTGCTGCTAAAGTTACGCGACCTCGAACACTTTATAATTTTTTATGAAGAAATTATTTCTGCTATCGCATAAAACTCTTTATATTTTCATTCCCTGATTACAAGTGAATGTTGAAAATATTTTCAAATATGCAGAACTCGCGAAATAGTGTTAATCTCTCTTATTTTGTTGTCGGTATTTCACATTTTGTGATTTAGGTTTTCGCAAATCGACTTTTCGCTTTTAATTAGTAGAACTATTGTTATATATGATATAGAACTCTAGAACTATTGTAAAACAAACCGGAAATCTAAAGAAATAATTGATTTTACTGATTAGGTGCGCTGCGTGTACTTAGCGCACCTTTATTTAAAAGTATATTTTTTTGTATTTAATGACCGCAACTATTTAAAATTGTTGCATAGAGTTCTACAACTTTTCAAGAGAGTATCAGAACTCTAAAAAAAATGTCACACTTTTAAATATGGTGTGCCAAATTCACACAAGCAATTAGGTCTTCGCAAATCGACTTCTCGCTTTTAATTAGTAGAACTATTGTTATATATGATATAGAACTCTAGAACTATTGTAAAACAAACCGGAACTCTAAAGAAATAGTTAATGTAAATAGTTTTTTTGATTAGGTGCGCTGCGAGAACTTAGCGCACCTTTTTTTGAAAGTCTATTTTTTTGTATTTAATGACCGGAACTATTGAAAATTGTTGCAAAGAGCTCTAGAACTTTTCAAGAGGGTATCAGAACTCTAAAAAAAATGTCACACTTTTAAATATGGTGTGCCAAATTCACACAAGCAATTAGGTCTTCGCAAATCGACTTCTCGCTTTTAATTAGTAGAACTATTGTTATATATGATATAGAACTCTAGA